GGGGGCGCGGGCGCGGCCGCGGGAGCTGCCGCAGGCTCAGAGCTCGTCTCGCGGTTCCCAGTAACCCTAACTGTGCTCAACTTCAGACCTGGACAATTCCCCGGGGCTTTTCCCAGCGACATAAGGACTTAACAAGCCAGGGTGTGGCCTCCCCGACTAGCCGCTGCTGCTGGACCAGGGTCCGTCCTGCCGGGTGGGTGAGCGCTCCAAGCCTGTGCTGCGGAGGCCAGGCGTGGTCAAGCCCCCAGGCTCCGGCTGACCCTGCTCTGCCAGGCAGGCCCTCGAGCGGCCCGACTCCTGCCCCATGCCAGCTGCCAGCCGGAGCCACCGTCAGGGGACCCTGCAGGGAGCCAGGGCACAGTCAGCCTCCTGCCAGCCGCAGCAGGACCCCCAGGGCCCAGCCTCAGGACAGCCATTGCTGGGTCTTTCGAGCTGTTTGTAAAAGCTGGGACTTACAGGGAGGCACTGAAAGGTCGCTGGCCTCTGAAGAATGACCTCTGTCCTTTTCCTTACAATTTTGCCTAGGGTGTGTGCTCACCAGAGAGAGAAGGTGAGAGCGCCCAGCAGGGACAGCCCCGTGCAGCCCACCCTCCTGTTCTCTCTGGACTCCGGCATGCACGCACACACCCCATGTCCTTCAAGCCACCTGGTCTGGGATTCGAACTGCACAGTTGGCCACATGGGGTCCAGCAGGCTTAACCTCTAACCACCAGCTGGCCTCAAATTACAAGGGATTTTAAAGTAATACAGAAAAAAAAGTCCTAAAAGCTGCTGGGACAAGAAAGAATGAGAAGAGCCGCAGGGCCTGGCCCGGCGCAGCCACCCACGGCTGGGGAGGGCGGGGCGCGTGGCCACTGCAGCTCGAGGGAGGGGCTGGCCTGGCTGGTCAGCCTGAGACACGCGGGCACACGGAGGGCTCCGGGTCTGACGGACTGGGGACTGGACGGGGCAAGTGAGCAGACGCTGCAGAGACCTCCCCGGGCATGCTCGCACATGCGCACACCCTGCTGTGAGAAAGGGAAGGGCCAGCCCCCAGCCCAGACGCTAAGGAAGCCAGACCCCATGAGGCCAACCGTGGTTTAAACTCCACCCCCAGCTACCTGGAAACCTCGCTGGCTGTGCACGCGTGTCCCAAATCCTCATGGGGTGGGGAACCAGCAGTTAGCGTAATGGCTATGTCGCTGGATTCCCACGTAGTCGACCGTGGTTCACGTCCTGGACCCGGTGGCTTAGAACTCACGCCGGGTGCGTGTGCGTGCGTGCCCAAGATCCCGAGAGGAGAATGGAGGAGAAGGGATTGCGGTGTGGCCATCCCCCCTGGGGGGTGATTTCTCGCTTTCTGTCTCTATGTCTCTCTCTGTCTTTCTGGCGAGTGCACGCGCCCTGTAGCGAAACCTCTCAAAAAAAAAAAAAAAAGATGCCGGGAACCAAATCCTCATGGGGTGGACAAAGGGAGAGGGGACTGCGGCGCGACCGTGCCCCTTCGGGGGTTCTCTCTCTCTCTGGGGAGCACACATGCCCTTTGGCCAAAGAAACAGAAGTGTTCACCTGCAGAGCGATGCCCCACCCATAGCTGGGACGTGAAGCGGCGTCCCCGCTGCCCACCTGCCGAGGAGTGTCTGCCACTCTCTGGGTCTCAGGTCAGCCCACGTGGGTAGAGTTGGTGCGACACCAGGGAGGGAGTCCCATGTGCCCTTGCTGCAGGCCCCACCCTCCCTGCCTGGCACCGTGGTCACCTGGCTGCTGTGCCCGGGTCCCAGGGCGGCAGGAGAAGCAGCATTCTCTGGCCACCCCCGAAATAGGGAGAAAGGAGGTTCGAGAGGGAGGGCTGGGGTTGCTGTGCAGGCTGGGCCCCCAAGGAAGAGCTGACGGATGCAGGGCCCGCGTGGGGTCAGACCAGGTGCTTCTGAGCCCCAGGAGAGGGGAGACCAGCCTCTCCTCAGCCTGACTTCCTTCCCTCCGCTGCGCAGCCTCCCCCCTGCACCTGACCCAGGTCCCCAGGGGGCAGCTCATTCTTGCTCTGTCCAGTCCTGCGAGCTGCCCTGTCCTCACACTCCAGCCTCCCAGGACCCTGCCCAGACCTCCCCGGACTGGGCCTGGAGCTCTGCAGAGCTAGGGCGGGAGCACAAGCCCTCAGGCTGTGGGCCGTGCTCAGCAGCGACCCCCCCCCAGGAATGCCTGCCAGCCACAGGCCAAGGAAGTGACCCCAGCTGAGCCGACCCAGGGCTTGCTCAGGCCAGGGCGGGGCACATCGGGTCCAGCTGAGAGCAGGGTGGCCTCACACAGCAAAGGCCCAGGGCCAACCGCTTGGCCAGCTAGCCTTGTGTGGCCCTGGGTGGCACTTGGGCCCTGACCTTCAGGCACCTTCAGGCCCCGACAGTCACCAGGCCACTGTGGCAGAGCAAGTGAGCCCAGCGTGAGGTCCAGGCAGGAACAGCCCAGCTGGGCGGCTAGGCAGAGGGGCTCACAGCCCACCAGGACGTCCCGACTCCCCTCACCTACCAGCCTGCCCCTCCTGCCAGCCCCACTATCGGCAAACACTCCTCCCACGCTCCTGAGTCCAGCCCCCCCATCCTGGACTTCCGCCCCGGCCTGCAACCCGCCCTTCAGGGTGCCACGGCCCTGTAGCACCCACCTCTCTGTCACCACCGCCCAGATAAAGCTACCTAATTCACACCCACTTTCCAGACCGGAGCCCTGTGCATTCCCGCAGGGACATGGGTGACGGACCCAGTGGCCTGACCCCAGCTGCATGCCGTGGGCGCCTCTGCCCCCAGGCTTTCAGATGACATGCTTCAGGGCCAGCAGATGGCATGGCGATGACATCGCTGACTCCCACATGGCCAGCCGCAGTTCGAGTTCCACACCCGGGGGCTTAAACTCACGCCAGGCGCATGTGTGTGCGTGCCCAAGATCCCAGGAGAAGGGAGGAGGAGGGATTGCGGCGTGGTCATCCCCCCGGGGATGATTTCTCACTTTCCCTCTCTCTGTCTCTCTCTCCGGCAAGAGCACATGCCCTAAGGCAAAAACCTCTAAAAAAAAATAATAAATAGGTACTTTAAACTTCCCGTTATGGGACTTCATGCAGACAGGAAGTGGAGACCCACGTTCCTCTCCCCCACGAGCAGAGGCCCGTGTCCCTGCCCCACATGCTACTCCCATTCTCTGTGTTTCACCTGATGTTTTTTCAAGACAGGGTCTCACTGTGTTGTGACCCTCCTGCCCCAGCCATCTGCATAGCTGGGAGGCCCCAGCCTTTGGGTGGGGCCAGGAATCGAACCCCGGCCCCTACGCGGCCCAGCCTGAAGAGCACTGTGTCAGCAGTGCCCACTGACTGGGCGTTCCCGAGCAGTGCTTCACTCCCCGTGCCAGAGTGAGAAACATGGTCCCGAGCCCCGAGGCACCCTGTGGACTCACTGTCGCCCCTCCTCGTGGCCCCACTGGGGCATCCCGGGCCTCTCCAGCCGTGCCCGCACACCCTGCCACGACAGCGTCTGCCCCATTTCTGCTTTCGCATTGTTGATCAGCTCCCTGGGGGTGGAGCGGCCCGGGGTTCCATCTCGCTGCACCCGCCAGCGCCAGGGCAACCACCTGCTCCGTTTCCCCATTCTGACGGGTTTTTACATTGGGTCTCTTTTGGGGCCAGTGATGAGGTGATGAGGTAATTAAGGCACCGGGCACCCACACGGCTGACTGTGGTTCAAGTCCCAGACCTGCTACCTTTAAATTCCAGCCAGGTGCACATGCGTGCATGCCCAACATGCTGAGAGGAGAACGGAGAAAGGCCTGCGGTGTGAGCCCCAGGAGAGGGGAGACCAGCCTCTCCTCAGCCTGACTTCCTTCCCCAGGGGCGATTTCTCACCTTCTGTCTCTGTCTCTCTGGCGAGCGAACATGCCCTATGGCAAAAAAAAAAAGGGGGGGGTCGGCTGAACTCACGTGGTCTCTGCTGCTGTGAGGCTTGCGGCCAGGCCCCGGCCGTGCCCCCAGGCAGGGCCACCATCTCTCTCCCCGGCTCGTGCCCGCACCTGGCCTGTGCTGGGCAGAGAGGCCAGGAAAGCTGCCCTGCCGGCTCCCTGCGAGTGCTCCGTCCCTGCCCCTGTGGGCAGGCCCGGGCGTTCACACCGCGGGATTCGCAGGCGTGCCCTGGGCCAGGCACTGTGGATGCCGGCAGAGAGGCCTGAGGGCTGCCAGTCCCAGGACCTGGTCACAGCCCGGGCCGACGCCGCACACAGGACTGCGGGCTCAGGGGACAGCCAGCAGCCAGGGCCAGGGTTTTCTGGAAGGAAGCCGGGGCAGCCAAGCACCGACGGTGTCACAGGAGCAACTGCCGCCCCCAGACTTCCTGCCCCACAGCCTTCGTCTCTGGGAAGGGCCCCAGGAGCACGCCCTCAGCCAGGCCCCACCTCTCACCATGCCACCTGGGCCCTGACACTGCCTGCCCAGGCCTGGCACCTCCCCGCGGAGCCCGTGACCTACCCACCGCGCGCCACTCTGCAGGCCTGCCCGGGAGGTTCAGGAAACGGCAGGACCGTGTGCTGCTCTCAAAAGTCCCCTGACCGCAGGGCGGCCAGTGCTGAGCACAGGGCTGGCCCGCCGGGGCTGTTACTCCGGTAGTGACAGCACAGCCTCGTCACTTTCCTGGGGGCTGGGATGGCAGGAAGAGGCACCACACACGCTTCTCTGCGCGACAACACCCGGGGGCGGGGGGAGGGGTACAGCAGCTCTGGATAGATGGGACGGGACCGCGGGGAAGGGACCCGGGGGCGTAGAACCAGCTGCCCCGTGGTTCTGCCGGGTAGGCCCAGCGGGCCCAGCTCAGAGAGGCCTTGTCCTCCCCAGGAGCACCGCCCGGGGTGCTGGGAGCAGAGCCTGCCCAGGCCGAGCGCTGCCCACCTTAGCCACAGGATGGCTGCCAGCCCCACGCAGCCTCCCAAGGAGGCACCTGCCGCCCTGCCCTCCCTGCCACGTGCCCGGCTCTGTCCTCTGTCGGGACCAGGCCTCTCCAGGCCTTGGCGGGCTGTTTCCCTGTGAGCGCCATGTGGGGCCACCTGGTCTCCTCGCCGGAGTCGCTGCAGCCGACGTCCAGACCGGCCCACTTCCTAGAAGGCCAGGTGGCTGCAGGTGCAACCCTCGCCCCTCTGGACCACTCGTGCCCCACGGGCTGGCTCTGGGTTGGGGTGCACCCCTCCCTTTGGGCGCCCCAGGGCTGTGGGCTACTTCCTGTGATGAGGCCCTGCTGTGTGGCTCTGTGCAAGTTGGCAGCCTGCCCGTGTGTCCAAGGCTGAGGCCCCCCAAGGCTGAGCCCCGTCTGCACTTTCCCTGCAACGGTCCTGGCACCCCCGCTGCGAGGCCACAACTCGACCCTGGCCCTCAGCCCACTCAAGTCGCCATCTCCAGCTGGCCTGGGTGGGCAGACCTAGACAGTTGCAGGCCCAGCCTGTGCGGGTGGGGCAGAGCCTCTCTGCCTTAGGGAGCACCTGCCCGAGACCGCGACCCTCCAAGGCTCTCACCCACCCCGCCCCTGCCCACGGCACCACAGGGCTTCTGGGGCTGTGGGCCCAGGGTGGCCCGGGTGCACCGGATGTGGGCAGCAGGTGCAGCTGGGCCCGGGGACCAGGCTGGGAACCAGGCGGGGACCGGCCACACCTCTGGCCCCCAGGGCTTGTCAGGGCAGAGCTCACCCAGGCAGGTCTGGCCCAGGCTGCAGACAGCCGCTACCCCGCTGGTGCAGGCACTCTGGGAACTGCTGTGGGCCCGGGGTGCTGGGTGTGAGGTTCCTCAGCCATACCCGTAGGGCTCGTCATGGGGCTGAGGCAGGAAGCTGGGGCCCTCCCCTGCCAGGCAGAAAAACCAGGCTGTCAGAGCACTGGGCGCCAGGGCGTGTGCTGCCGAGAGCACGGGGTAGACCCATGGGGACTCCAGGACAGGCCAAGCAGGTGGCCCCTGCTGAGCAGACGGAGGCCCGGCCTGTCCAGCGTGGGAGGCAGGCCCACGGGTACTGCTGTCTGCCCTTCTGGAAGCCCACTCCCCGCTCCCTGCTCCTTGCTGGCCCCGTGGCCTGGCTGGGGGCTGCAAGGTCCTTGGGTCCCCCTCTCCCCAGGCTGCCCCTGCTCAGCCGTCTCTGAGCACCAGCCCGCCCCTGCCCACCTCTGTGAGTGTCCTCCCCAGGGACACGAGCCCAGCAGGCAACTCTGCACTGACCCCTGCCACGGGGCTCTCAGGGCAGCCTGTCCCCTCGGCGTCCGTCTCTGAGAGACCCACCATGGACACAGTCTCCCTGCTCTGACCCTGGCAGACTCACTCCCAGAGAGCCTCTCATCACAGAGTGGGTTTCAGACAGGAAAGACACCCAAGAGCTGTCCCCAGGTCGAGCCAGGCGGGGGCAGCTGGTGTCCCCGGGGAGTGCTCCTGACACACCTGCCACATTTCTAGTGTGCTCAGGCCCTCTTCAGCTCTCGCCCACAGCAGCCAAAGGTGAAGCCGGCTTGCCAGAGCTCATCCAGCAGCCTGTGGAGGCGCCCGCCTGGATTCAAGGCCGCAGGAGAGGAGGGAGGGCCAGGGCCAGTCGCGTGCAGGGCACAGTCCTCGCGGGCCAGCCCTGGCACGCAGCAGCTCCTGGCCAAGGTTCCGCCATGGAGGCAGCATCCTCCTTCCCGACTGCGGTGCTGACCGGGGGCTGCTGGACTGGGCCTTCCTGGCGTCACTTCCTTCCATGCATCTTCTCCCCGGGAAGTCGTGGGCTGGGTCTGCACTGGGCCAGGGCGCCAACGCAGGTGACATGGTCCTCCAGACATGGCGACTGCTCCCTACCACCCCTGCCCCTGCGGAGCCGCTGCCTCACAGCTCTGCCCACCCGGCCTTCCAGCCTCTCAGCCTGCGAGCAGCTGGCCAGCCAGGTGGTGTGGTTAAGGCCGACTGTGAGGTTCAAGTCCCACACCTGGCAGGTTGGAAAGTATACCAGATGTGCGTGTGTGCCCAAGGCCCCAAGAGGAGAGTGGAGAAGGGATTGTGCCAGGGCGTCTGCCTGGCGGGGGTGGTCCCTCGTTTTCTCTTCTGTCCTCTCTCTCTCTCGGAAGCACACACACCTTGTAACAAAACTGAAAAAAAAGCAGAGGGTTTTGCCTCACGACGGGGAGACCTTGCCTCCTCCTGGCCGGTGTGCTAGTCTCCCCAGGGGCAGCCGAGGTGCGGACTTTCTTACACTCTGCTCTCTGAGCACCGTACACACTCCTGGATCTCTGTCGTCACGGTAAGGTGAGACACAACATAAACATTCCTGTCCTAGGGACCAGCAGATGGCTTAATGGCGATGTCGCTGGACTCACGCACGGCCGATCATGGTTTGAGTCCCAGATCCAGCAACTTAAAACTCACGCCGGGCGAAGCCGAGAGGAGAATGGAGAAGGGATTGCGGCGTGGCCATACCCCCTGGGGGGGTGATTTCTCGCTTTCTGTCTCTCTGTCTCTCCAGCAAGCTCATGCGACTTATAGCAAAATATCTCTCTAGAAACATTTTTAAAAATAATTCCCGTGCTAGGGCAGGAGCACGTGGGATGAGTGCCAACAACCACCGGGGCTCAGAGGCCCGGCAGGCTCCAGGAGGGGCGCGGTCCCTGAGAGGCCTGTCTTAGAAAGGTGCCTGAGCCAGGTTTCCGTGTGCGGCCGGCTCCTGTCACACACCGGTCGCTGCCACCAGTCTCCAGAGCGTGTTCGCCTTACGGAGCTGGGACTGTCCAGTTAGAGGGGCTCCCAGCCCCCAGGCCCCTCTATGAATGCCACCATCCCGGCCACTTCACTGCGTGGGGTCCCGGCTGCCCGCACCCAGCTTGTCCCACTTGCATGGTGCCTGCGGTACACCGAGCCATGGCGAGTGCGGTGCCCACCTTTCAGGCTGAGCAGAAGTCCAACGTGCAGGGTCACAGCTTGACCCATTCCCATACCGATGGGGACTGGCGGCCTTCCTCCGGCCACGGCGAGCGGCAGTGCTCCGAGCCACAAGCGCGGGCTTCCTGGCTCTCGTGTCTAACTCGTTTCCCGCGGCCACGGCTGGCCTTCTCGGCAGGGCCCAGATGGTCCCATGTGGGCCATGCAGTCCGGCAGCCTCTGCCTGTGGGCACGGCTCCTTCCCACTCAGTCCTGGAAACTGCCCGGCTTCTGAGCTCCAGGCCCCGGAGGGGCGGGCCGCCCAGTGTCTGTCTGGGGGAAGGTGCCCACAGTGCAGCTCCCGGGCTTCCCCCACCCCCATGGGGCTCGGCCAGCCATTCTGCCTCTTCCCCAGCAGGGCGAGACAGGCTGGTGGGGCCGGGGAGGCAGCGGCAGGGGAAGGCCGGGGTTCCCAGTTTCTGTAGGGGCCGGCTGTGGGCGAGAAGTCCCGGGTTCCAGCCAGGGAGGGATTTCCAGGGATGTTTCAAAGAGAGGTAGGGCAGGGGAAAAGAGGGGCTTTCTGAGAGGCCTCCGAACCCCGAGCTGCCACCTGCCACCAGCTCACCCTGAGCCTGACTCAGGAGCCTGGGCTCAGTGGGGTTGGGCCCGGACAGGAGCTGGGTCTCACGGCTGCACAGCAGGCTCCGTGGCCATCGGGAACCCATCGCAGGGGCCATGATGGCCACGGGAGTTCCAGCCTCCACAGTGGAGTCCCGGGTGCCAGGAGGGGAGGAGAGGGTGGCCCTGTTTGAGGGGACTTCCCAGGACTGCCCCAGTGCCCTGCACCCTTGTGCGGGGAGGCTGGGAAACGCCGTCTTCCAGGTGACCAGCGGCCACGGCGGCCGTGCGGGTAGAGGGGACGCATGCTGATGGGCGCACATGCCGTCAGCTTCCCTTCCAGCCAGCAAGCCCGCGCGGCCGGCAGGGAGGAGGGGTGCACAGCGCGCCCGGCCGGCCTCTCCGCCAGCTGCGGGCCCTGGCGAGGGCAGCTGAGTCTGCCTGGCCTGTTGTCTGCGGGACACTTCGGGCCTGTGTTCACCATGCCTTGTGGACAGCAGGGCTGATCGTTGAGGGGCCCTGGACCCTGCGGAGGACGCACCAAGCTGTGCATGTAAGACAGGCCCCCGCCGGCCGGCTGGTCTGCCACCAGCCCCAAGCCCTGAGGCAGCGGGCTCATACCCACTGCTCAGTCCTCCGACCCTGCCCCATGTCCTACCCCGTGAGTAGGCACCGCTCTCAAAAGGCGAGA